CCCCAAAAAAAAAAAAAAAGTTTAAATAGCTAGAGGCTAAAAGTAGCACAAGTTTCAGGCAGTTAGCTGAAGCAGATTTTGAAGAGAACAGTGCTTTTAAATGAATTAAAGAGATCTTTGTCTTTCTACATAAATGTTTGTAAATAAAAGTAAATATTTCAAAGTGTAAAACAGTCAAAGCATGAAAACAGTGAAGAACTTCTAGAAAAGAAACTGAAGTTAAACATGAAAAGTCAACTTTAGTCTTTCATTACAAGAAGCCTGAAAAGAGGAGGGGGTGTATCAGAAACAAAGTGATGAGCTCCCAGTAAACTGCACGAGAAGCGGCTGAGCTCGGTCTGCACAGGAACATGTTCTGTCCGGCTCGAAATGACAGACCGTTTCCTCGGTCACTGCAAAAATACTTTTCACTTTTTTTACTGGAACACCAACCATGTCTGAAACGAGCTGAACATCCTGATATAGAAAAGGCTAAAATAGGACAAAATATGAAATAGTTAAGTTAGTTAGTTTACAAAACCAGCCTGAGTGCTGACTCAGTGGGTAGAGCTGTTGCCTCTCAGCGAGGTTGCTGGATTGAATCCCAGTCAGGGGTCTTTCTGGGTGGAGTTTGCATGTTCTCTCCGTGCTGCGTGGGTTTTCTCCAGTTTCCTCCCACAGACCAAAAACACGTTGGGCTGATTGGTAACTCTGAATTGTCTCTGGGTGAGAGAGAGTGTGAATGATTGTTTGTCCCCGTGATGGACTGGAGACCTGTCCAGGTGTCCCCCATCTCTCGCACAGTGACTTGTGGATATGGGCACCAGTGACCCCCCGCGACTTGAAAAGGAAGAAGTGGGTAAAGACGATGGATGGATGCCTTTCCTCATCCTAAAGCTATGATCATGCAACATTCCTAATGTTGGCTAACTCGAGCACAAATGGGGAAAAGAGAACCAGACCTAGCCTAGAACCCTGAGGAATACCATAACAAAAATGACACGAGGTGAATATGAACAGGAGGTATCCCTGAACCCAGTGACAGGTTCTAGTTTGTGATCAGGATTCTGTAGTGGATCAGATTCAGCCTTGTGGTCCAACAAGACCAGCACAGACACAGGAACTTGGTCTGAAGATGGTTCTTTACTTTGCTCCGAGCAGTTTCAGTCCCGACTTGATCTAAATTCTGACTGAAAGTCTTCATGGGGGTCATGTTGTGTAGACAAGCGATTATAAAGTATTAAAAGTTTAAATAAAATGTAATATTCAGATTTTATGTAGTTTTATTTCTGTTTATCTTGTGTGTGCTCTCCTCCCACCAGATGATAACCTGAGCGAGGACGACATCAACGACTGTGAACAGGAAGACCCTCTGCATGAAGCCGATACCGTGCCGCACCCCCACGTCCCCCAGAAGAAAAGAAAAGATGTTCGTACGAAGTGAGAGGCTGGAACAAGCAGAGACACAAAACAAACAAACAAACAAACATTTTTTCATCATAACATTTGTTCAAACTCAAAATTTGAAATTCACTTCTGGAAAGCCAGAGTTATTACAGACCTTAAAGATTGAACTGCTTTAACGCGACCAGTTTCAGTGTGTGTGTGTGTGTGTGTGTGTGTGTGTGGGGGGGGGGGGGGGGGGGTTAGTTACAGATAGTTAGTTAGTTAGTTAGTTAGTTAGTTAGTTAGTTAGTTAGTTAGTTATCATGTTTGTTTATCTCCAGAAGCAGTGGACAGATATGAGTAGATCTCAGGAAGTAATCGGTGGATCCACGACTTCAACTGATTTGTGTTTGGAGTCGTCACGGTGGCTGCCACGGGGAACCGGCCACGTTGACCAACACAAACATCTAAAACATCTACGGTTCAATCAGTTGTTCAGACATGGAGGGGCAGTAGCTGAGTACTCCGAGTACACAAACATTCACTATTAAAATCCTTCAGGAATAGGAGACGTGTGTGCACCACTTGCTTAGTTCTGTTTTTATGAGCGCGTTTCATTTGTAAAGTTTTGAAAAGTTTAAATCTAAGATTTGAAGGCTGAACTCTGCCCTCTGGCTGTAACGAAATGGTGAAACAACTGATTGTGACTCACTACAACGTTTTGGTACAATGAACTTTAGCAAATATTTTTTGTTGTAATCTCTTCCTGAGCGCTTCCAGTCGTTTTCCCACAATTGTTCATAACTAAAAATGGCAACGACAGTAACTTATTCCAGCTGTTTTTATTTAAAAAGTCTAATACAACATGTTTGATACAAATATTTACGATGAATGTTTGAAAATAGGAAGAAAAGATTGCAGAAGTTGAAGACGGAGGAGAAAGGCGGCAGCGAGGAGGCCCAGCTGCCTCGGGGGGAGAGCGACGACGACGTCAAACAGAAGAAGAAATCTGACGATCTTTGGGCGAGTTTCCTGTCGGAGGTCGGATCAAGACCTACGGACTGTGCACCTGCCGCTCCGTCAGGGACCACACACGAGGTAAACGAGGTTGAACTCCAGCTTCTCCTTCAACGTGAACATTCAGCCGGTTCTGTTTTCTCAAACGTAACTGTTGGAGATTAACTGGTGGACAAAACGTGTGGAGGTGTTTCATCGTGTGAGTCACAGGCAGGGTCGGCCTGAGGAGGCTCAGGACCCTGGACCAGGGATTCTGTAAAACAAACAAAAACTCAGGGATCCAGGCCTCAAGTTTTAGTGGAGAAGTGGGCGTGGCCAAGCGTGGTGGCAGAGCGCTGAGATCATGACATGCTGTGCTCTTTTAGACTTTAGAAACATTTAGAATCTTGTCTGAACCCAAAGATCGAAGACTTTGTACACAAAAGGTCTTCTTCTCTCAGTGTTCAACTTTGTGTAAATCTGTGTTCGTGAGCACTTCTGAGATGATCCGTCCACCTCACAGGTGTGGCAGATCAACATGCTGATTAGACAGCCAGATTATATCACAGGTGTATCTTAAGCTGACCACAATCAAAGGCCGCTCTGAAATGTGCAGGTTCTTCACGCAGCACATGTCACAGGTGTTGCCCGATTTGAGGAGCAGCAATCGGCTGCTGACTGCAGGAGTGTCCACCAGAGCTGTTGCCCGTGAATTGGTCATTTCTCCACCATAAGGTGTCTCCAAAGGCGTTTCAGAGAATTTAGCAGTTCACGCAACCAGACCATGTGTAACCAGCCCAGGACCACATCCAGCATCTTCACCTCCGAGATGGTCTGAGACCACCCATCCAGACAGGTGCTGCAACAATCTGTTAGCACAACCAAAGAATTTCTGCACCGACAGAAACCCACTCAGGAAGTTCACCTGCTGCTCGTCGTCCTCATCGAGGCGTCGTCGTAAACTACTCGAGTGGACAAATGCTCACATTCGATGGCGTCTGGAACGATGGAGATCCTCTTCACGGAGGACTCTGTTTTCAGTCTACAAGGCAGATGGGAGGCGCATGGCGCAGTGTGGGTGAGCTGATGTCAACGTTGTGAATCCAGATCTGTGAGATCATACACTCATTTCAGAGCGGCCTTTTATTGTGGTCAGCCCAAGATACACCTGTGATATAATCCTGCTGTCTAATGAGCATCTTGATCTGCCACACCTGTGAGGTGGATGGATCATCTCAGGAGAAGTGCTCACTAACGCAGATTGTGTTCTGATCTTCAGCTCGTGAAAAATGGGAGCAACAAGAAAAGTGTTCATATTTTCTTCATTTTACTTTTCAAGTAGTTGAAACGTGACGAAAGCAACAGACACCAAACTGACTTGATGCTCTTCTTGCCTGTAAACTGTAAAAGTTCAACACTCTGACTACAGGAAAAAAGATAAAACACATGCATATATCAGATTCTTATGGGGCCCATAAAAACAGTTTCTGAACTCGTACAAATGAAAATGCAGAATAAGTTCACATTAATTTAAAGGTTTCACGTCACACTCAGCAGAGCTGCTCTTAACTTTATTTGGACCTCTCAAGACTGAAGCACAGAAATATTGTCAGCCTGCGACGAGTCCCAGGTGGCTTCATTTAGCCGTGCACGAGTGAATCTGATCGGCTTCTGTTTAAACTCAATTATAAAACAGTTTATGAGAACCAGCGTCATTTCTACGGGTCATGGCAGCAGTGAGGGAGAAAAGGTCAAGACTCAGAATATTCCTGGTTTAAAGCAGCATAAACAGTTTCACTAAATGTCCTCATCCATCCATCCATCCGTCCCTCCATCATCCATCCATCCGTCATCCATCCGTCCCTCCATCATCCCTCCATCATCCATCCATTATCTTTACCCGCTTCTTCCTTTTCGGGTCACTGGTGCCCATGTCCAGCAGTCACTGTGTGAGAGGAGGAGGACACCTGGACAAGTCTCAGTCCATCACAGGGACACATGGAGACAAACGAGACAAACAATCATTTTCTCTCTCTCCTAGGGACGGTTTAGAGTCACCAGTCAGTCCAACATGTTTTTGGGAGTAAAACTCCAGCACAGTGAAGTCGGGTCGTCTGGACAGTTTCTTTGTGTTGAAACGTTTCGTCTTGGCTGAGGTAACATCTTAGCACCATCAAATTGGTTGATCCACTTTGTGAAAGTGCTGAGTTTGTTGCAGCTCCTCGGACTGATCAGGTCTTTTGTATAAAAGACAAAACGTTTCAACAAAAAGAACCTGTCCAGAGGACCTGACTTCACTTTGTTAGATTGTTCGACCTGGATTATTGAGCAGCATCTGCACATTGCTTCCTAACAATATGGCTAAAATGTTGCCCAGTCAGGCGGCACGGTGGATCAGTTGGTAGAGCTGCCGCCTCTTGGCAAGCAGGTCGCCAGTTCAAATCCTGGCCGGGGCCCTTTCTGGGTGGAGTCTGCATGTTCTCTCCGTGCTGCGTGGATTTTCTTCGGGTACTCCAGTTTCCTCCCACAGACCAAAAACATTCATGTTAGACTGACTGGTGACTCTAAATTCTTCCTAGGTGTGAGTGAGAGTGAAAATGGTTGTTTGTCTCTCTGTGTCCCTGTGATGGACTGGAGACCTGTCCAGGTGTCCCTGTGATGGACTCGAGACCTGTCCAGGGTGTCCCCCTCCCCTCACACAGTGACTGCTGGACATGGACACCAGTGACCCCCACAACCTGAAAAGGAAGAAGCGGGTACAGATGATTGGATGGATGATGGATGGATGATGGATGGATGGATGATGGATGGATGTTGCTCAGTTTTATTGGTCTGGACCCAGGAACTTCTCATCGTGTCTCGTTACCATATATGGTCAACACTGGTCTGTAGCGCTTGCAGCCCATTAAAACCAGTGCTCTTTTAGCAGGACTTGTGTGCGTCTGTTTGCAGGTAACCGAGTCAATGAACAAGTGTTGCAGCAGGTTTCACAGCGTGTCGACTCTTTTCTACCATGATCATTTTCCTTCAGGCTGAATCTGAAGACTCACAAACGGCTCCGAGTCCAGACACGACGGTTTCACAACCTGCCACGGTCACCATCACTAAAGTGTTTGACTTCGCTGGAGAAGAAGTCAGGTGGGTTTAACATTTTCAAACGGCTTCATGTGGGAACTAAAGGAGCTTTCAGACTGCAGCAACATTTTCAGTTTTTACAACATTATTCCATTAACTTCAATTAACAATGTTGATAATAAATTTAAAATAAATTCAACGTTGTGCCATATTTTGACCTGTGTGTGTCTGTTTGGAAAAACATCTCATGAATGACAGATATGGTGTCGATCCCGGGTCACTGCACACCCCGTGGTGCCCCTGGGCAACACACCCCATCCCCAAAATGCCCCCCAGGCGCCCTCAGTAGCTGCCCACTGCACCACCCGGTGGTGGATGGGTTAAATGCAGAGACTAATTTTGTCATTGTATGGAAACATACAGCGATTATTTTTTTTCATTTAGCCTTTATTTATCCAGGTTATTATTATTATTATTTAACTGAAACCTTCAGAAGTACTGGCACGGTGCGTCTGCGTCGTTCTGTGCACTGTTGAAAGTCAGCCAGCTGGTGGCGCCAGATGTTTTTGTTTTATACGTTTCAACACATCTGCTTCAAATCATTTCAGTGCTTCAGAAAGCGACAGTTCTTCCATCACTACAATGAAGAACCCGTCTAATTCCTGGCAGGCAGGCAAACTGCACACCTTCTATTTACTGGAACAATAATATTCATTCCTAGACACGAACACCAGATTTTAGACTTTTACTCATTTTCATTGCAAACTAGCAAAAAACAAAAGTTGGACAGTAATTTATTTGTCTGTCTCTGTCCATCTGTCTCTGTCCATCTGTCTCTGTCTGTTCAATCCAGTTTATTTCTAAAGCTCCAAGTCACAACAGAAGTCGTCTCAGGGACTGAACAGAAACATTCATGTATAAAATAATAATTGAACAGAAACATTC